ACACTGGAGAGGCTGAGAATCTGTAGTCGCTCAGTCCACAAGGCTGGATGTCTTAGTAGTCCCAATCCGGTGCTGAAGGTCTGACAAATTCCAAAATATCAGCTAGTCTTCAGTCTACAGCAGCAAGATGAACTCACCAGTGAGAGAGAAGGCAAGCAGCAAAAAGCAAAAAAAAAAGTTTCCTCCCATGGCCTTTTATCATGGACTGCCATCTAACACCCACATTTAGGGTGTGTCTTCCAGCTTCAGATGATCCAATTAAATTCTCTCTCATTTCAGTTAATCCCAGATCCATTCAAGTTGACACCCAGGATTAGCCATCACAAGTATGAACCACTTTCCAGAAATGATTTTACAGAAAACAAGAGAAAAACAAGTTAGTGATACCAGGCTGGAGAGATAGCTCAGCAGTTAGGAGCACTGACTGCTCTTGCAAAGGATCCAGGTTGATTCCCAGCACCCACATGACAGCTAACAACTATCCATAGCTCCAGTTCCAGGGGATCCAATGCATTCTTCTAACCTCAGCATGCATTGCACAATATTGGTGCCCTTATACACATGCAGGCAATATGCTCATACCCATAAAATAAAAAGAAGGCAAAGGAAAATTAGTAAAAATGGATTTGAGAGATAGAAAAGTCAATTAAAATAGCTCTAAACAAACCAACTATAAAGAGACAGATTTGAGAAAACTTAATATGAATAAAGTATTGAATGGTTTTTGTAAGCAATTCTATATGAAGAGACAACTATTTACTTATTTGTTTGCTTGTTTATTTTATATGTATGAGTATTATGCCTGCATGTATGTGAGTGCACCCATGTGGTGCAGTGCCCATGGAAAACAGAAGAGGGCTTCGGATCCCCTGGAACTGGAGTTACCAAATAATTGTTAGCCACAATGTGGGTGCTGGGATTCAAACCCAGGTCCTCTACAAGAACAACCAGTGTTCTTAACCACTGAGCTAACTCTCCAGCCCTAAAGGGACAACTTTTCATAGCATGGGTGGTTTGTAGAGCTTTAAAAATATCATTCTAAAAAAAAATCATTGTGAAAGTGAAGGATTTTAACTCATAGGAAAAAAATGCTATATATTGTAGTCATAGAGTAGGTAAGGCTGGGAAGAGTGTGGTACAGGAAGAAATGTATAGGCATGTGTTTCTTGCTTTCTTGAAGGAAAGATACTTTGAGAAGCAGAAAAGAGACTATGCATGCAAGGCATGGCGATGGGCAGAGGGCTTCTCTTCTATCTGGATCAAATTGTCAAGGGACAATATTTTCCTTTATTTTTCAGAGTATGTAGTGTAGAGCAGGGGAAGAGCACACGTGTTGGAGGGGAATTTTAATTAAATTATATTGTGTTGAACATTTGAGAGAATTACAGAAAGCCTAGATATCAGCCACAGGAGATTTAAAAGTGAGATGTCAAATACACATTTGCACATTCACATACACATAAAAAATAATTATCATTTTGAGGCCAATAATTCAGGTAGGAACTGTGTGTAGCTGCCTAGTCTGTCATAGTGCCTTTGAACCCATTTAGATGGTGTATTTAAAATAAGATAATGACATCTATTACATTTTAAAATATCTCTCTCATTAAGTCATACATAGTAAAATATTCCAAGTGAAATTCTTCGATTACTAGTATTTGAATAAAAACACTAGCTTTCTACTTCAGGCCATTATGTAGTCATGGTGTGCCTAGCACACTCACCATAACCAACCACAAAACTTGATAAAATACATGCGGCAAATTTGTCCATCATGATAAACAGGCAGAGTGTCTTAGCTTGCTTTCATCTGTTATGATAAAAAATGCAGACCAAAACCAACTTGGGGAGGAAAGTGTCTATTTGGCTTACAAGCACAGTCCATCATCAAGGGAAGTCAAAGCAGGAACTCAAGGCAGGAACCTGGAGCAGAGACTATCCAGGATAGCTGCTTACTGGCTTGCTCCTTTGGCCTGTACTCAGCCTTTCTCATAGAGCACAAAACCACCTGCCCAGGGGTGGCACCGCCCACAGCGGGCTGGGTCCTCCCACATCACTCAACAATCAAGAGAATACCCCACAGATATGGCCACGGGCCTGTCCAATAGAGAAAATTCCTCAACTGAGGTAGCCAGGCGTGGTGGCGCACAGAGGCAGATGGATCTCTGTGAGTTCAAGGCCAGCCTGTTCTCCACGGTGAATCCAGGCCACCTGGGGCTACAGGGAGTTCCTGTCTCAAAAAGCCCGAAAAAAAAAGTTCATAGTCTCTTTTAAAACTCTTTTAACTGTGGGTAGGCTTCTGTAAGATCCAAAACAAGTACTGTCTTATTTCAAAAGGTAGAATTGGACACACTTAAGCAAAACCAAAGTCCAGCAAAGTAGCTCAAGCGTGGACATCTGGGATTCACTCATGATCTTCTGGGTTCCAAATGGCTTTGGTGGCTTCACTTCTCTGGCTCCACCATCCACAGCACACACAGCTTGTCTCATAGGCTCAGGCCAGCTCCACTCTACACCTGCCACTGCACTTAGTGGCTGTCCCATTGGCACCGCCAATATGCTGGCATCTCAACTGAAACTGAGGCTGCACTTTTACCTGCACTGGTGGGCTCTCCTCCCGCCTTTCAGGGTGCAAATTCTCAGATTCTCTCCATGGATCTTTTCAAGCCTTCAGCCCCAGAACCATGCAGGAGACCTTTCAACATTACTAAATCCTGCTTCCAGCTTGAAATGGAGGCTCAAGCCCCCTCTGGACCACAGCTTCTGTATGCTGACACAGAGGAAATACTTCCAAGAAGATTTTGCCACAATAATGCTTGTTACCTACGGCTGATATTTCAGCCCAAGCTAACCAACATCAATTGTCACAGGAAAGCAAAGTTTCACTTCAATGGTGCTAGTCTCTTCTTAATCACAGCTGATTCTTCAGCCCAAGATGACCAGAAACCAGAGATTCTCAATTCGAAATATCATACAAATAGCCCTGATAATCTTTGCTTCCCATTGAAGTTTTACAAGCCAAGCCTCCATTATCTATACCTCTTTCACCATTATCTTCCAAGTTCCTACAGAAGTGCTCATTGAGCTCCAAGCAATCTTCTAATCCAAAGCTCCACAATTCTCCCATACATATATGGTCAGGTCCATCACAGCATTACCCCACTTCTGGTACCCCATTTCTGTCTTATTTTGCTTTCATTTGCTGTGATAAAAATACCAACCAAACCAACTTGGGGAGGAAAGGGTTTATTTGGTGTAGAAGCACAGTCCATCATCAAGGGAAACCAAGGCAGAAATTCAGGGCAGGAACCTGGAGCACAGGCCATGGAGGATAGCTGCTTACTGATGTGCTCCTTTTGCCTGTGCTCAGCCTGCTTTCTTATACAAGGCTACCTGCTCAGGGATGGCACCACCTACAGAGAGGCTGGGCCCTCCCACACCACTCAAAAATCAAGAAAATGCCCCATAGAGACGGCCACAGGCCAGTTCAATGGAGAAAATTCCTCAGTTGAGGTTCCCTCTATCCAGGTGTGTCAAGTTGACAACTAAAGCTATCCAGCACACAGGGTTAAGGTTAAGTCTGAAAACCCTGAGAAGAGAAACTGACAAGGTAAGCTCTTGTGCTGGTTCGCTTTCATTGTCAATTTGGCACAACGTAGACTTACCTGGGAAGAAAGTCTTAATGATGAATTATCTGGTTCAGGTTTGCCTGTGGGCAAGTCTTCCGAGTAGACTCAAGTAGCTCAAGTGTGGACATCTTGATTGCTAATCGACTGAGGAAGACCCCGCCAATTGTGGGTTGCACTGTTCCCTAAGCAGAGGATCCCGAACAGTGTAAGAAAGGAGAAAGCTAATTGAGAGAAAACAAGCAAGCATGCAAAGAAGTATTTATTCTCTCTT